CTACCGACAGGCTCGGCTGACACTCGTATTGCATTATAGTATTTTATTACAGTTAAATAACCCCGGCTGGTAGCCGTGATGTAGTAGTATACTATAGTATACTACAGACTGGTCCGGCTGATAGCCGTGTTGTCGGCTGGTAGTGGTAGCCGTGTTGTCGGCTGGTAGCCGTGATGTATCGTAGTATACTACAGTATACTACCGACAGGCTTGGCTGACACTTTTATTGCATGGTAGTATTGTATTACAGTTAAATAACCCCGGCTGGAAGCCGTGATCTATGCCGCGATGTATTGTAAGTATTGTATTAAAGTGTAGATACGGCTCGGCTGCTACTGTATGCACCCTTGGCCGTGTACGATGGTGTACGTATTTACGCAATCTTTAATCACGCTGGCTAAGAATAACCTGTATATATACAATAAATTAACATATTTTCCGTGTAAGACGTCGTGGCCGAAATTGGTTTTTTTTCTCGTTTATTTACCTGTCGCATAGCTAGCTATATGCATTGGGAAGATGAATTTAGATGCATTTCGATGATATTCGGAAAATTTAATGTAATTTTGGTGGTTTTCTGCTTATGAAACATTCTAGAACCAGTCTCCGAAATGTGCGCATTTTTTGAACGAATAGTATACTATAGTACAGCCCGGCTGGCAGCCGAGCAATCGGAGACAAAATTTCCGGCTGTCAGCCGGCGTCAAACTCTAATTATCATTTTATCTGAGTAAATCTGCCGTGGGATACTATCGTATCTTCACGCAACAAGCGTGTACATCACGCGCTGAAACAATTATACCGTTCGCGAGTTGTTATTTGTAATTCCGCATAAAAAAATATTGATTTAACTAAAGATTTTCAAGAGGTACACTTTCAATTATCAAAAGCTGATGATACAGGTTCAAATATTTAAAGGTAAAACGTCAAAATCTCTGTATAAAGAAATTAAACTTTATATTCGCTCACTTGTTCAGCAAATTTATTCTCGACTTATTGGGCTCTTCAACTTTCGGTATAATATATCATTTATAGACCCTACGCTCGGTTGATTTGATAAAATATTACTCTCAGCGATCATATTTTCTTTGGGGCAAAGCCAAGGGAATATCATTCAATATCATCACTTCGGGTAATATTTCCCCAAACCCCCCTCGCTCTGGGTCTATAAATGACACATATTAACGTGAAAATCTTTAGTTAAAACAAGAAATCTTTGCGTAGGAGAG